TAAAGGACCTTTCCATCTGTTCTGTTTAATCCTTTAAAATTGGTTCTTTTGTAACTAATGAAAGGGAAATCTAAAAATAATAAAGTACACAATGAAACTCATTGTCATATCAACTAGATTTGCAAAGTTAAAATATGCCATATTTTGCATTGAATAATAATCAGATTAAAGTTCATTGCATTTTGGAAGGCCTGGAAGATTTTGTCCTCAATATAATCACTTCTGACACTGAAGAAGAGAAAACTAAAAATACTTTTGTCTTGAGCCCTAGCTTGCTGCAGAAGGCAAATATACAAGTAAATGTAACTAATTTCAGATAGTCAATGGTTTAAAATATTAATACCATTTACTTAAGATTATTGTTTTATCTGGTTTATTTAATTTTATCTTAGCATAAGCAATAAGAAAAATTCAGATGATATTAAATTTCAATATTTAGATGAGGCAATATAATATTTGAAGAGAATTCTGTGGTGACCTCCTCTTTGCAAAACAAGATTTTATCTCATCTCATCTTTTATTTATTTGAATTTATTCTTTCTGACCTTATCTAATAGCTGAGAGCTTCAGTTAACAACAGCAGCTGAGACTGTCACTAAGCAGTGAAGTCATGCTTTACAACTACATTGCTTACCAATGAAAATTCCACTCCCAGCTACTATGAGGACTAATTATACAAAGATCTGAAAGCTATAGTAATATCAAGATCCATAGTGAAAAAATGAAACTAAAATTAAGTATTACAAAAATCCAACTAAGGACAAGAGGTAGAACCAGCCTTAAAATTGGCAATTAAAATATTTATTTATTTATTTATTTGATTTGTATCCCGCCCTTCTCCTTACCGGATTCAGGGCGGCTGACAGCCTTATAAAACCAAGATTACAATAAATATCAATTTAAAACCAGATTAAAAGGAAATATTTGTAATGGCCTAATAATTAAAATTTCCCTTAAAAACCCCACTAAAATTCCCTAGGCCAATCCCGCTTGTTGGAAAAGCCATGTCTTTAGGGCGCCCGCCTTCCTCCCCTCTAGGCCCTAGTGGGCCTAGAGACCCCCATCAAGCAAGGTCTCCCAGGGGGCTCCCACCGAGAAGGCCCTCCCCCTGGGGGTCGCCAGCCGGCACTGTCTGGCTGACGGCACCCTGAGGAGACCCACTCTGTGGGAGCATACCGGCCGATGGGAGGTAATCTGCGGCAGAAGGCGGTCTCGGAGTAGTGGGTAGCTGCTGCCTTTTAGAATCGACTATCAACAAGAAAGGATACAGACTAGCAGTTAGTAGAGCAACCATTTTTTATTTTTTTTAGTGCATGATGACATGACAGAATAGAAATAAACCTATATATGCAGTCCACATAATTATAAATAAAATTTCTATGAAGGTATGGTAGTGGCCTCATAACTGGATGTCCAATTCAGCTATCTAGGCGATTGCCTCTGGTGTTGCTTCATGCTGAGCAAACATGAAGGCCTCGAAAAAGAAATATAAATGCTGTGTTATATCTATACTTACAAAGATCAGAGTCATGGAAGCCTTGGTATTCTTTGTGACATTCTACAGAAATGAAAGTTGAAGAAAGAGAGTAGGAAGAGTATTAATGATTTTGAACTTTGGTCTTGGAGAAGACTTCAAACAATACAGTGGACAGCCAAGAAAACCAACCAATGGATCAAAGAACCCAGTGTTCTCATCAAAGGTACAAATGACAACAGTCATATTATCTTACCTTAAAAAGATTATGCAAAGACCTAACTTTCTGGAAAAGGCTCTAATGCTGGGAAATAAAAGGTGAAGAGGATGATCAGAAGCAAAGTGGGTGGACTCAATTATGTGCCAATGGGTACATCATTTAAATATCTGAAAAAACAGATTAGGGACATATTGTCACATATATTATCTATGTGGTTGTTAGCAAAACTCAGTAGAATATTGAGAGTAGTATCTATTTTAACATAGATTGTCTTATTGTAAAAAATGTTTCTATATATTTTATCTTTTGTATGTTGGTTTTTCTCAGTAATTTTAATTTATCCAAGTAGTTCAAAATGTGAAAGTATTGTATTATTGTTATATCTATGATTCAAAAGAATCATTCTTGTGTATTCCTCTTTCATCCTCTTTGAGAAGTATGAATCCCTTATAGTTTGAATATTATAGTAGAAAAGTGAGATATAAATATTTTAAAACAATATACATTTAAAAGTATGTTAGAAATATTTTAAATCATTATATATTTAAAACCACTTGCTAGTGCAAATGCTTTTGACTTGTACTATATAAGTTTTTTGTACATTTACCATTTTGTTTTTTGCAGGGACCAGCATTGCAATGCATTGGAGCAAGTGAACAGGCAGTTCGTGATATATTTGGGTCCAGATCGATGGTTCCCGAATCTGTTTTTATGATTATTGTAAGAATTGAGTTTGCTAAAGAGTGATATGAGAAAGTCACAGCAAGACGGTTATGAAAGATGAAATATAGCTAGTCCTCAACTTACAACCATTCATTTAGTGATGCTCTAAGTTATGTCTCTGAAAAAAATGACTTATGATTGTTTGTCACACTTACAACCATTGCAGCATGCCCATGGCCACATGATCAAAATTCTGATGCTTGGCACCTGGCTCATATTTATGATGGTTGTGGTGTCCCAGGTCATGTGATCACTTTTTGAGACCTTCTCACAAGCAAAATCAGTGGGGAAGCCAGATTCAATTTACAACCATGTTAGTAACTTAGCAACTACAGTGATTCACTTAACAACTGTGGCAAGAAATCATCAAATGGGGCAAAAATTCACTTAACTATCTCATTTAGTAATGGAAATTTTGGGCTCAATTGCAGTCATAACTTAAGGATTACCTATATTTGGATCTGCTAATTTCACATTTTCACTTTTGGCAAATGATATTTTATTTCTTTAGTCTGAAGTTTATATTGCAGAGCTCAGGCAGCCAAGCCATGCATACTTTTCTTTGATAAATTTGATTTTCTTTTTCCTGGAAGAGGTCACGATAACATTGGTATAACTGACCAAGTTGTTAATCAACTGTTCACTCAATTAGATGGTATATAAGGTTTAAAAGGTATGTATGCATTGTCCAAGACCAATCATAAAAGCGAAGTAAAACAAATATGGTAAATAAAACAATAAAATTACATTGTTACAAATGTTAATTTGAAGGAGCACTAGGTGGTTTCTGGAGACCATGGTTATTGATAAAAATTTTGTGGCCTTCTGAGAATTAGAAGAGCATAAATATCATAATCAGAGGAGCAGTTCAAATTATTGACAACTGGGGTTGTGAATTTTCATCCCTATTAGTGTATATAATGGGCATTTGAATACCATTACTGCAGCTGTCATACGTAAGTTTGGTGTATCTGCTAGTTAGTGTTCCAGTTTATGCCAAAGTAATAATCTCCTGTGAGTAACATATAGGGTATTAAAAAAAAATCTCAGGATAGTCAAGTTATGTGCATGAGGTTACATTATAGAAAAGATGGGAAACACTGATTCAACTTAAATGTCAAACTCCCAATTCCTCTGCTTCAATTCAGGCTGAGTTTTATCTATGCCAAAGGCAGACAGTGCTGGCAAGACACAATATGCTAAATCACTGTTAATTTGTCTTAGAGTAGAACCAAATCTTATCTAGCCAGGTGAGATAGGAGAGATAGATCCACTTATGTCGCTTAAGTAGTAAGCCCTCACCTTAATAGTGCCATGGGGCAGTAGTATATTTAATTTAAGGAGACATTGATCAATCAAAGCAGTAGTTAATTTCCTCTAGAATATTTCATGAATTATTGAAACAAAGGCCGTCCTTTGTTTATAAAATCTATAAAGCTATCATAAAGCTAAAAAAAGGAGTTCCTGAGGATTTTATCTGCTAATCATTGCCAACTATAGGTAACATAAAAGGCAAATTGAAATATTTCTCAATGAGATTGTGCAATAGGATCTATTGGTCTGTCTGAACTAACCATATCTGAGACTAGATCCAAGATGTTATCAAGGCTATCCAGTCCAATCCACTCCAGCATCTATTTCCAATGAAAATCAACTTCCCTGTACTTCAAGTGTACTATGGTATTTATTTTCTTATGAAATAATTAGAACAATTCTTCAGCTATCTTCTAAATCACAGCACTTCAGATCTTTGAAGACTGCCATTATATTTCCTTGCAGTCTTCTCCTTATAAATGCTTTGCATTTGGTAGGTAACAGGCAAATTAAAGCCTATAATTCAGAAAAACCTTGCAATGTGGAAAAGATCTTGTTCTTCAACCCACTCCCGATATCTCCCTAGATCTGCAGAAAGAAGCTTCAGTGGGTGTTAGAAAGCATCCTTTTAAGTGAGTGTTTCTCAATCTCGGACCTTTTAAGATGTGTGGACTTCAGCTCCCAGAATCCTTCAGCGAATAAGCTGACTGGGCAATTCTGGGAAACGAACTCCCCATGTTAACGTTTTAAACTGGGAAACACCGTTTTAAGTTTTTCTCACAACTGAAGTTGCTCACTTATTCCCAGATCCTTACTCTATTGAATTATTTTTTACCTATATCCTCATTACAAAGATACATGTGATACGGTCCGTGTTTTTTACGTATACATTTTTACAATTTTACACCAACGTCATAGGAAGTGTAGATGCTCATTTTACCGATTGAGCTCTCTTTTGAATCTCCCGCGAACAAAAAAAAAAAATCGAGAAGAAATGAACATTGCGTCTTTCCCCACAATTTTTGCTATCCTGGGGCTCTCTCGCCTTATTGCGGTTACATTCACTTTCCTATATTTACTCCGTACAATATTTTAACTACTTAAAGATTAGGTTCGAAGTAAGTATTAAAAAAGGAAGAAAATCATACCACCGCGACACATACTAAACGCCGAGTTCTTTCATCTCTCTCGTTCTCCCTCTCGTGAGGGCAAACAAGGAAGGGCAAATGGCTACAATGGCTGCCACTGAGCATGTTCGGTGTCCCTGAGCATGCTCAGTAGTATCTGATGTTAAAAACTTGACGGGTAGCAGAGAAAGGGGCTCCGGCTAGGCCGGTTTGATTTTCGTCGCTGGGGTTCCGGGATTCCTGCACGCCATGGGGAAGAGGGATAACCGGGTGGTGCGTAAGCTAAGTCTCTCTCCTAGAGGCGCGATCGAAACGGCAAGGGTTTTGAAGAAGGGACATAGTCTTTCCTACTGGCCTGGGTGGGGATGAAGGACTCAGAGGGAGACGGTGGCTATGCGACCACCTTTGAAATTGGGGGGAGGAATAGCCAGTGTCTGTCACAGACATCCTGCAGACCTTTCCTCATTTCATTGACAAAAGGGGTGAGCTACTAAAAATAGTTCTGATTGTCATGGGCTTTGTAGTCGTTTGAATCGGAAGGGTGGGTGGCTGTGAGAGTTCTTTGGGGCTTTCCACATGAAACATTTCTCCCTCTGTCATGAAATCAAAGTAGTAAGTTGGGCCCTTCAATACATGGTGGATCTAGTGGGTTTTTCGTCTCAATTATGTGATCAGAATGAAAAGTAACCTGGTATTTTTTTTATAAGGATATTATCTGATCTTATATAAATATATGGAGTTTGCCTGTATGTTTCTCAGCATTAGGTCCTTAATTATAAAATAATCTCGAGTCCCAGTTTTTGTATTTCAAAACTTAAGTCCATTATTTTTTGTGTTTTTCATCTTGGTGGTTTTTTTTTTTGATTTTATGCTTAAAGATGATTTAATTATCACATCAAAATGTATAGATTGTTTAAGTAGACTTGAGTGACACATTATATATTGAGCAGTAAGATATTTCTAAAAGAGTAGTGGAAAGTTAAAAGTTTTCTAAGGCATCTGTCTATTTAGCTGTGCTTTTTAGAAAACAAAATGTGCTCATCCTTATTTCTCAGTTTGAAGAGACTATGTTCCCTGCTTTTGTTAAATTCCTAAGAATACACTGAAGATATAGAAATGATTAATTTGTCCTAAGTAAAAACTACATAGCACACTGAATGATGATTTGTTGTCGTTGGGAGTAGAAAAGCACTATCAAACTTTGTACACTGTCAGTGAAATGTTAAAACTGGGGGGAAGTTTTTTATTTCTCTCTGTGAATAACCTTTGTTTTCTGAATAAAGACAGGCAGTAATAAATCTATTATAAAACAGGCCACTTTAAGACAAAGATTTGTATGTTAATTTTATAAATGAGATATTATATAGACAGCCTGATGATTCATTTTGTATAAGTCAAATTCTGCCTAAAATCAAAACTTCAATTATTTATTTATACATTAGCTTACAAGGGTCACTTTCAGGCTATTTTATTTAAGCCAGAAAAAGATGATGAAAAAAATAAAAAATAGAAAGCAAAGAAATTCGCCAAAGAGATGTGTTTTTATTCACAGTTGGTTCTGAGCTTGATGTTTCAATTCTCTGATTGCTTACCAAGGCCCATAACACAATCCAGTTGGGTAGAATCCAGAAACAACCCATATTAAATGACTGGTAGTTCAAACATGCTGAAACAATAATGTCTATATTAAATAGTGAATGCCTTATGGTTAAAGAATAGAAAAAAGAGTGATTTCTTATAAGTTTCATGATAACCTGCTATTGAATCTGCAGTTAATAATATGCCCTAGATATGCATGCCTCAATATAAATATATGTTTCCCAGATTACATTTGCATACAATAGCTTCATTAATCATTAATATGCTAATAGTTCTTTTACTATTTTTTTAATTTAAAAATCCAGATTAAGAGATGGCAATATTGAATATTTTCTGTTCTTTTACTTTACTACAAACTGTTCTTTGATGAAGGTTTCTAATAATGAAAATATATGTTTTGGATTGCATGGGGAGGTAGGAAATATGTCAGAGATTTGAAAAGGTGGTAATGATAAATCTAGTGCAGTGATGGTGAACCTTTTAGAGACTGAGTGCCCAAACTGCAACCCAAACTCACTTATGTAGCTTCGAGTGCCAGGTGGGTGTGGCCCATTGGCTGGGTGTGGCCAATTGGGTGGTGTGGCCCATTGGGTGGGCATGGCTGCCATGGTAACGGCAGACTGTGTGGGACTAAAATGTTCAATCAATCAATTCTAACTTTGCAAGATCTTTTTTTTTCCTGCAAGAAGTTGAAATTGACTGATTGAACCTTTTTTTTTTTTTGCACATGGCAGCGGAGGCCTAAAGCGAAAAGGTTTTATAAAACCAGCTGAAGGCCTAGGACTGGGGCGATGGCATGCGTGCCCACAGAGAGGGCTCTGAGTGCCGCCTCTGGCACCCGTGCCATAGGTTCGCCACCACTGACCTAGTGGTTGTCTACATTCCTCTCATTTTATGCTATAATAAATTAATCATCTCTACCCCAACTTTCATTTCATATATAAAATACTTTATTTAATGAGGTCCATGTTTTAAATGTGTAACTAATTTTTAAAAGGTCATCAAAATTGATGTAATAACATAGTGAAAGATAAGGAAATGTAGGAACAATATTCATTCTCTTATATACCGTATTCTCTTAGCAAGCTTAGCGATAAATTTATTAGTCTTAATGGTATCATAAGAATATTTATTTTGTTGCTGTCCTCTCATAAGATGTTAAATATTACAGTATTAGATGATCCTCTGTGTTAGTTCCATTCAATTTTTCTTGAGCAGAATGATTTCCCAGAGTCCAATTGTACGCAGCTTTTGCTGAGGCAAATTAAAAGTAAGAAATATCCCAACATACTGCCTCCTCACCCCCAAATGCCATAACCATATGAGTATGTTTCATTAATCACTGAGAGTTATTTTTACTTATACAAATATATTACATTTTATTTATATATAAAAGTCTGACAGTAAATATATACCTTTAAATACTAGCTTTTTATAACCATTGGAGAGGAAGCTGGACACATCAAAAAGTGAAACTATCAAAATATGTTATCTCAACAATCGTTTTACAATACCTTGACAATTCTATCAAGTTGATAACTTACATAGATTGGCTAAATGACAATATTATATCATTTTTGAAAATTACCAGAAAAAAAGCTATTTTTAAGGGTTGCAAATTGGAGTAATTTAAGGTTCTCTCACTCTTTCTTTGTCGTATTTAAGGCATATATGAATCCCATAGCAATGGCTAGATCACGAGGTCCTGCTCCCTCTTCAGGACCTACAATACAAGACTACTTGAACAGACCAAGACCAACATGGTATGTCTGCAAATGACGACTTTGTTCCTTTTATAAGATTATACTCTATTAAGAAAAAGTAGTAGTAAAATTTGCCTTAATGTAATACTTGTGCCCCAAATTAATGGACTGGTTCGTGTATGACATTAAATCAGGAAAAGAAAAATGGAGTTTGAGGTCCACATGTGGACTTCCACCATCCACTTCTGGCTTCTGGAACTCATCCAAATATGGATAGGCTCAAAATTTGGGTGAGGTTTCACATTTTGTCTTTTAGGGCAAAATGAAACTCTTTAAGACTTACAAATGCTTTAAGGCTTTAACTGGCAGGTGAAAATCTTCAATCATGAAGTTTTAAAGGGTGAGGCTTAGCAATTTTATTCCAGATTAACTGTCTCCTGCAGTTTCCCCAAATGTGAGAAATTCAACTGCATAATTGTTGGTTGCCCAGAGTTGTGTACACAAGATGGGCAGCCATATAAAGTCAATAAATAAACAAAATTTCATCTCTTAAACTTATGATCCCACCCCTTAAGATTATCGGTTGCCCAGTTTTTGAATGTAGGTCTAGATGAGTTGCATAGAGCTTTGTGCACATTTCCATTTGATAGAAGTTGCATTCTTCATGAATGAAACCACAGTTGCATAAAACCACAGTTTCACTTGAGATGCACAAACAGAGAAAGAGAGCAAGTTTTCTTTCAGTTTCCTTAAGCCAAGATCTGCAGTGATGATGTTACATAGTTTGGTAATGTAAGGTCTAGAAAATCTAACCAAGGTCAGAGAGCATCAAGGATTCCTAAGATAATATTTTCAGATCTAAACTTTTGTATCAATTACAGATTATATATTTTTTCATTAAAGGGAAGAAGTAAAAGAACAACTAGAAAAGAAGAAGAAAGGTTCCAAGGCCTTAGCAGAATTTGAAGAAAGAATGAATGAGGTTTGTTATTTGAATAATGTAGGCATAAGCCTAGATTTTATATCTGTATTATTATTATTAATAATATAATGCTAATGAAATTTCAGTTTTATACTAAAGTACAGTTCAGTGTTAATTGCTTCTTATGCAGATACATCAAAAGATACTGATCCAGTGCAAACATGATTAGCAATAAGAACCAATGTTCTTTCATGTTAGAAATTAACTTTCAATGATTGCAAATCTAATCTAGCACATCCTAGATTAATAACAAGATGTGATTGGATATTCAGCGCTTAACAGTCAGTGATTGAATATTAGACATCTCAAGTACTTAATGTTGGCCATAAATGTTAGGCATATTAATCTACCAGATTAGCAAAGATAGTTTTAGCACAATTGTTAAAACCACATTGCTGTTCACAAAAATGCATGTTTTCTCCTATTCTTTCTGTGGCATCCAATAAATTATACGTAGGCTAGGTTGCAGTACTGACTACCTCTGTAATGAAGCCTAATAGTACAATCCTATTAAAAAGTAAAGAGGGGGCAGTGTATAAATTGTGTAAATAAATAATGGATTCAAAGGGAATTTTTTTGCAGAAGAATGACTATAGAATTCTAGTCTAATTGAAATAATTAATTCCCAACTCTAGAAATGGCTATTATGAGTTAGTGACCATAAAGGATACTTGAGAAATACTCATAATTGTTTCAATTGTTTTTCAGAACTGGAAAAAAGAACTGGAAAAACATAGAGAGAAATTGTTAAGTGGAAGTGAGAGCACTTCAAGAAAGAAAGAGGTAAATGCCCTCATATGTACCCTCCATGCGGAACTAGGGATTTGAAAATTTTGTGTTACAATAGTCTTTGCTTTAACTGCATTATTGTGGTTGTTGCTATAGAATGCACTTCAAAAATTTATTCAAACATATTAATGAAAAAAATTCTTTTTTTAGAAAAAGAAAAAAGAGAAGAAGAAATCCAGTAGGGTGAGCAAAGATTTCATTTATTTCTCAACACCTAAGACAGTTATATAGTTTATTTAAAGGAAAAAGGGTGATTTTTGGATTTTTACTATTAATGTTTAATATTGATTTTTAAATGCAGGTGATGCAGCTTTGGATGATATCCATAAATTTCAGGGGCACGGGTTAATTTATTCTGTTGACAAATTCTGCATCTCACAAATTTACGTTTTGTTGTCTTTGGTCAAGTTGTCTCCATCTTCCTCTTCCTCATCAAGCTCTGATTCTTCCAGCAGTTCATCTGATGTTGAAGATGAGGTAAGACTGAATTGTAACTTTTCATAATTTCGTATTCAAAATGGGTGTCTAAATGGAGGAGAAGCAGTGTCATTTTCATTGAAATGTCGGAAATCTTTTAAGGCAGGGGTCCCCAACCTTGGCCACTTTATGACTTGTGGAGTTCAACTCCCAGAATTCCTCAGCCAGCATGACTGGCTGAGGAATTCTGGGAGTTGAACTCCACAAATCATAAAGTGGCTAAGGTTGGGGATCCCTGTTTTAAGGAACTGGTTTTTTAAAGCCAACTGAAGGATGACATCGCTAAGTTTGTTGAGTAGTACCAGAGTCATTGTATTCATCCGCTGGCTGAGATGGGAGTAAATGTCTGTCACCTCTATTCTCTGAAAATCTGCTCCTGAGAATTAGAGGAAGATGAAACCATATCTTGTTTCCCCCTTTCATCTGTATTAACCTCTCATAATTGCTTATGAAAAAGCAAGGCACCCTCCATGTAGCTTAGGAAAGGGTACTCTTATGAAATCCCACTACCTCCTATGGATGCACTCAGAAGACTGGCGCCAAAAGTGAGAGAGAATGTATGTGTGTGTATCTATTCCTGATTCCCATCCCTTTCTTGAAAATATATTTAGTTCATTCATTTAATGGTTGACATTTATATAGAAGCTATTTTCTTGAGTGTGCTAAAATCCAAGCTTTTCTGTAACTTCTGTAACTGGATAACGTAGGAAGCTATTCACACCCATACATCAATGGAAGTGAAAGGGAGATGTATGAAAGGCTGAAGTATAGTTTTATTATTTTCTTTCCCCTCCTCTTTTGTGTGGGTGTTTGTACCTTGGATCTGCTGGATTGAGTTTTGTAGAAATTTTCTAAAAGATTTTTTACCTTCACATCAGAAACAACTTGTGCTATTTTTCAATAGAAAATAAAACAACTTAAGTGAATACCAGAAAAAATGAATAATTTTGTAGACAAAAAGGACAGTATTGAAATGAAACTCTCCTAGTACATGTACAGTATTAAACAGGCAGCTGAATTTCTAAAACGCCACGCATCATTGCTGAGGACTTCCTATTCCAGTAGACAAGTGTGGACAGTGTTTAAGCATCCTTACAAGACTGAATTTTTAGTAGAATGGAAAGATGCCTTGAACCATTGTAAAAAATAAACTCTCAGACTAGAATGATTTATTATATCACAAATCATTATGAATTAATAGCAGAACGGATTATTTTTTAGAGAAGTACTGTAAATTTGATTGGTTTCCCAGTCATGATTCTGGCATGCATATGTGATAGAAACCGGTATGGATCTCTTGAAGAAAAAAAATTGGAAGAATCTTGATGGAAACATTTGGTTAGTCAGAAAGATAAACATCCTCTCTCCTTATCAGTTCTCTGCCTTCTGATATTCCCTGGCAGAGAAGAAGTAGCAGCTGAGATTCTAATACAGAAGGTAACCATGGTAGTTCCAATCCCTTTTGGCTTTTCACAAGGCAGAATTGTGAAGGATGAAAAAAATTCCTGTTTGATCTTTACTAAAACAACTGTAATGTAACTCTTTGACATAAAGGTTGTATAAAAGGATATGAGGAGTAAAAGACTTAGGTGCTCTAGTTCAAATTGGTCAAAAACATGACTTCTCTGAGACCGATAGCTATTAATTAGGCAAGATTTGTTCATGAATCAGGACTTTTGATTTTTATTTTTATTTTGTAATTTAGTTGCTTTTCTGATAGATTGAAATCATAGTTCCAAAGTATGAAAAATTATATTTAGAATGTTTTGCCATTTATTTTTCATTGAAGTAATGTAGTAATTGATAAAAACAATTAAATTGAATTTCACTCTTTTTACTATTGGAATATAATGCCTGTTTAATTCAGAATGACTTATATTGAGCTTTTGAATAAACATTGCTTCCATTTAATTTCTAAAATTTTTATTTTAAGAATGTTTTTGAGCTTTATTTGTTTTTCTCTGAAATGTTTTTTCTTCATAGCTTTTGATCTTTGAATACAAGTCAATGAAATCAGAATATTAAAATGATATTTGATAAAAACTTATTAAACAAAGACATTATCTTGAATATATAGAAATGGGAAGGACAACATAAAATCCAGTTATTCCTGTGGCTAGTCATTAAAAATATGTGTTTATGCTTTATGTCTGAAATGTTTTAATCTGAACAAAATCTAATAATTTTCTTATCATATTCATGATTAGGATAAGAAACAAGGAAAAAAGAGAAAGAAAAAAAAATATTGCTCCCTACAGAAGTCATCTGAAAGCTCTAGTTCAAACTCTGATTCAGATAGCAAGGTAAAGTAAGAAAAATACTATCTTTACCTAATTTATGAATGAAACTTTTCACACTGATTAGAGTGCACTGGTAGCAGAAATGCATATGTGGAATATGAATGAAATTTGGATCTCTGTGCTTTGTTTTAAACTGGTGAAATGTTTGCTCTGCTGGCTCTATTGCAGTGATGGCGAACCTTTTAGAGACCGAGTGCCCAAACTGCAACCCAAAACCCACTTATGCATCATCGGGTGCCGGGTGGGTGTGGCCCATTGACTGGGTGTGGCCCATTGGGTGGGTGTGGCCCATTGGGTGGGCGTGGCTGTGGTGTAATGGCAGACTGGGTGGGACTAAAAAGTTCAATCAATCAATTCCAACTTTGCAAGATCTTTTTTTTCCCTGCGAGAAGTTGAAATTGACTGATTGATTGAACCTTTTTTTTTTTTTTGCACACGGTGGCGGAGGCCTAAAGCGAAAAGGTTTTATAAAACCCAGCTGAAGGCCTAGGACTGGGGCGACTGCACACGTGCCCACAGAGAAGGCTCTGAGTGCCGCCTCTGGCACCCGTGCCATAGGTTCGCCACCACTGCTCTATTGCAACAATAATACATATCTGTTTTATTTTTCATTGCAAGCTCTGTTTTGATTATTCCATTTCCAGAATACCAATTGCCATTACTTCTGCACTATTTGCTTATACAGACGCAAATTTAAGTGTACACTGTCATTAATGCTGTTTTTAATATCTACTTTTTTATTATTTAGGATAGCCTAAGAACTAAACGGACAAAGGAAGATTATGAAAGAGACAAGGTAAAACAGTTTCATAGTACTTTTAAAAATTCCTTGAAAATAAATTTGCAATTATAGAATAATTAAATGAAAATTCTTACTTGCTTAATTGTAAAAAAAACTCTGAAATTAATAGCTGTTTGGCATTAAAATTGCTGGTTGTTAGGCAAACTAATTCCAAAACCTGATCTGTTATATCAGTTGACCTCTAAGAATTTATTAATTTAATTTAATAAATATATTTTTATTATTATAGTTGGTCATACAATCAGCAATAAGTTTTGATTTTGTTCTTAAATAAATAAGATGAAATCATAGCTGCCAATCTTTTAGTTGGTGTTGGCCTTCATTTGCATCAAGTTCTTTTCAAGAACTTAGGTTGTCATAATGTATTGGCATAGTATATGTCCAGATCCAAGCAATATGGTCTTGTATAATTAGCAGATGAAAAATTTGTCAATATGCAGATTTTTTCAGCGTCATCCAAGGCTTTTTGGTAGGGCACTCAATGTCCCTGTAACTATTAGGACCATTACTGCTAGTTAAGCCATAATCTTCCAGTTTTGATTTTTGAATCTTGATACTTTGTAATCTTCTCCAATTCTTTGTCTTCTGTTTTATTGTTCCCTGGTATTGTCACATTAATTACCCGTACTTTTTCTTTTCAACCATAGTTAAATATGGTGTGTTATATGGCAAAAATGTATTTGTTTATATTTGGAAATCATTATGTTAGATAGCACAGTCGGCCAGATGTTTAGATTGGATTTGGCATTTTTATCAACTTATCAATCCTTCCCAAGGATCTGGGATAGGCAGATGTGTTTATTTGACAGTATTAAAGATACTGTTGCAGGATGTAAGCTATTCCAAGTAAAGGTGCCTTTTGCAATTGACTAATGGTGATTTTGTCAATGCTGATGGTATTCAAGTATGCTCCAGAGGTATGGGGATTGCACCCAAGGCACCTATTACTCTTGGTACTATCTTTGCTTTCTTTTGCCATAGTCATTCTACTTCTATTTGCAGGTATTTGTATTTTGTAATTTTCCCCAGTTGTTTCTCTTCTACTTTGTCTCCAGGTATTTTGATTTCATTATTCAGACACTTTAGTCTTTCTTATCAACAGTTGTTTATTGTTGATATTTTGTGGTGCTGTTATAAGTCTGCACAGTCTTCTTGCAACAGCTAACTAGGTGGTTACTGTTTTTCAGCTTCTTTGCAGAGGTAGTGTTTTGCGGTCTGTTACTATTTTCTGAATTCTGGCTGTGTATACATTTTTCTTAAGAGTTGGTCTTGTACAGCCAGAATCATTCCGTCTCTTCAATTTTCCTGCTCTTAGCTATTGCCAGGCTTTGTTGTTATTTACTTTGCCTGCTTTGTGTGCTTCTCTCTCTCCCCCCCCTTCTTCCCTCCCTCCCTCCCTCCCTCTGTGCTAGCCATGTAATACTTGTTGTGTCTCTTTTCTGTTCTTCAAAGTATTATGTAGTCAGTACATTAAGAAAAGAATAGATAACAAGATCTGGCAATAGTGAAGAACAAGAAAGTTGAAGAGAGAGGGGCTATTCTTTATCAGAGGAAATGTGATTTTTAAAGGTGACCATAATTAAATATTTTAATCTTACCTAGGATTCCAAAAGTCTTGTTAGGAAAAGAATAAAAGCAGATCATATGGAAGAATTATTGCCATCAGACTCTTCATTGGAATCGATTCAAACCGAGGAGGTCAGTTTAAATATAAAGCAAAGCATTTACATTATTTAAAAATGTTCACCAAGGTCTCCATTCATATGCATATGCAGAAATTTTGGTCCATTTTTCCCATATGTGCTGCTTCAGATGATTGTGAATTAAGAGACCCACAAAGATCTTTCCTACATAGTTCTTTCTAGACTGTAGAACTCCAAAATGTTGGCTGTGATGTTCCTGAAAAGTTTAGACATGACAGCAGGATTATAAAACACGAAATTGCCAGATAGTACAAAATAGCTATTGGAGAAGTAGTCCTTTTTTCCAAGTTATAATTAAGCAACATTTCTATTGTGATTGCTATTTCAGTTTTTCAGCCTTTTTGTAAAATGTGTATTCTGTGATTCTGCTTCTTCTTATTTAGGTACAAGCAAAAAAGAAGAAAAATAGTGAAGAAAAAGAGAAAAATGTAAGCTTATTTTTTCTGTCTAAGAATTTTAAACTCCATTTTTTTTATCAGCATGTATATATGCTGGGGCAACCTCCCTATTTCAATTGCTCTGAGTTTCTTGTGACTTTATAATAAAGTTCTAAGGGACCTTGGAGGCATCTAGTCCAACCCCCTAATCAGGGAGAAAACCCTATACCATTTCAGACAAATGGCTGTCCAGTCTCTTCTTAAAAACTTCCAGTGTTGGAGCATTCACTGCTTCTGGAGGCAGGTTGTTCCACTGGTTAATTGTTCTAATTATCAAGACATTTCTCCTTAGTTCTAGGTTGCTCCTCTCTTTAGTTAGTTTTCATCCGTTGCTTCTTGTCCTGCATTCAGGTGCTTTGGAGAATAGCTTGACTCCCTCTTCTTTGTGGCAGCCCCTGAGATTTTGGAACACTGCTATACTATATTTGATATTTACTATATGATATTTACTAAATACAATAGTCCTAAGCAGGTAATAAGATATAGGATGAATTAACAAATCAAATCAGATTGTTTAATATAATCTTGCTAATATCTCTTGGCAACAAATTATAAATTAGCTTTCTTGGATTTTTTTTCAAATTAATGAAATGTTATATGAGGAATTAAAGTTAGAACTTTATATATAAAGAAAAACAACTCTAGAGATAAATTTGTGGACAGTGTCTTCTGTAAACCTTCTAGTAGGGTGGTATTTGCTGTTCTTAACTTAGATGGGCTTATGATATTCGGTGGCTTTAATTAATCCTTTCCTTGAAAATGCATTTGGAGAGACAAAACTTGAATTGGAATCAGGTAGTTTCAGAATATAACAATCGTTTTTGGTATTTTCCTTTTTAAAGGATAAAACAAAAAAGCGGAAGAAACATAAGAAGCACAGCAAAAAGAAGAAAAAGAAAACAGCAAGTTCAAGCTCTCATCCAAAATACTTAAGTCAAGTTTTTCTTTCTCAAAAGTGCAATGAGACTATAGAGACTTGCAAATTGTGAAAATTATGATCAAATCTGCCAACTGCATGAGCTCTCCTGTATGTTAACAAATCTAGACATTCAGCTTGCCCAGTACCATTGGGCTGGAAATAGCCATTGTTGTTGCCTGATGCTTAATATACATATAGTACCCCTCTCTAGCCCTCCAGTAGCGGATAGGACATATTTGAAAGAAACCCTTCCCATGGTTTACATGATTGAGCGGTAGTGTAAAACTGGATGGATGCCAAAAGGTTTTGCCTACTTTATTCAGGGATATGTGCATGTGATTTGATATGCAGATGTCAATCAGTTTCATTGTTGTAATGAATGACGCAACTCCCTGTGGACAAAGATGCATCAGGAGGTCTGTATCTATAAACCAAAGTTGAATTTGGGTGTTTTATTTTAACAGACTATTAATAAAACTTAATTTTCTATTACAAAGACATTTGCAAAATTCCTCTACAGAATCAAATGTCATTTAGTAACTCCTGTGATATTTCATTTTTACTGATACCATTTTTGGAACAGGAATGTAGCATTAATATATACAAATATTACTTTTTTAGATATGTGTAATATAATTTTGTGCTTGTGTTTTTGAGTTGAAATTGTTAATTAGAGTACATAGTTTGATTTGACAAAAATAATACAGTTTTGCTAATATTTCCATGATATAAACTTTCCATGATATAAACTGCAATCTTTTTCTTTAAGAATTTAAGGGAAAATTTTCTGAGCATGCCCCATTAAAGTAAATGGAAGTGTGGAAGACCAGCTAGGCCAATAATTATAACTGAGCTGATTATGATAGCCTGCTATTATTTATTTATGTACGTAGTGGCCAAAATTGTGGAAACCTTTTGGGAAAAGTGTACATTTGAGGTTTGATGGCTAATAACACCACTTTTTTGGAGTAGTACCATAAAATTATATATCAATGGAAAGATAATTTAATCAAGAATGTAATGCATTAACTTTTATGAAGGATTTGCTATTAGAATAGCAGTTATAAAGAAGAAAAGTGAAACACAGAAAAAACAATATATACAAAAATTGCCACCATAGAAAAAATGAGATATACAAAAATTATCACCATAGAAAAAATGAGATATACAAAAATTATCACCATGTCAGTTAATACTTAGTTGGGTAACCTTTAGCATGAATTATGGTCTTACAACGTCTTCCCATGGAGTGAACCAAGTCCTTTAGTTCTGCATCTGTTATAATGTGAAACCAATATTGAATGATTGTTTCTATTAACTGGGTTTTATTGCTGGGTCGCTTCTGACTAACAAGTTTCTTTAGTTGGCTCCATAGATTTTCAATTGGGTTAAGGTCTGGGCTATTCCCAGGCCATTCCAGCAGTGGAATATGATTATCTTGAAGCCACTTTTTGCACACAGCAGCAACATGACATGGAGCTGAATCCTGTTGAAATATAAATGCTTCATTGTCTTGGAAAAGATCATGTGTGGAAGGCTCAAGTATTTCATTAATCTATTTTGGCCATTTATATTCTGCCCACACCTTTTGATGTCATACAGCCCCAGATCATAACACTGACTGGGTGTTTCACGGGACATGTAATGCAATCAGGATGCAAATCTTCTCCGATTCTTCTCCTTACGTATTTTATGCCATCACTAGCAAACAGGGAGATCTTGGTCTCATCACTCCAAATAATACTGTCCCATTGTTCCTCTGTCCAGGTAACATGGGTTTTAGCCCAGTTTAGTCCTTTCAACCTTTTTAAAAAAAAAATTTTTTATTGAATATACAGTTAAAAACAAAAACGACACAATGGACATGATAGAACTTCCCTGGTTTAAACAATACTATTAGTATTACCTTGTGAGAGAAAGAAAAAAGTTTCTCTACATTATAACAAAATATGCATATAAGATCTGTGAACTTTCTAGTAAGCGTTCTTTCAATCATATACATTATGGTTGAATAACTTCTAATTCTATCTTATAAAAAATACTGGTATAAAAATTTCTAAACTATCAACTTATCGATCAACATTCGTCCCAGCATGCCTCCTTGACTCTAGCCATTTATATACTTCATTCCAAATTTTGAAATAGTCTGTTTCAGTTTGATTTTTAAGCTCTAATGTTAACTTATCCATTTCAGCGCAGGATAGAATTTTATTTATTACTTCTTCTTCAGTAGGGGTTTCTTTTCTCTTCCATTTCTGAGCATAGGCTAGTCTCGCTGCAGTTAGAATGTGCAATACTAAATATAAAGATCCTTTGTTGAATTTATTCTTGGTAATCCCTAATAAAAAAGGTTTCTGGTTTTAATTCAATTTCTTGTGATAATATCTCTTCCAGCCAATTTTTTATCAGATGCCAAAATTCTTGGGCTTTTGGGCATTCCCATCACATGTGGTAGTAAGTCCCTGGTAATTTTCTACATTTCCAACGTATCAATGAGGATTTTTTGTTCCTTTTTGCTAGTCTTGTGGGAGGAAGATGCCACCTGTAGAACATCTTATATAGATTTTTTTTATAGGTGGTGGCTAACGTTAGCCTCCTATTCCTGTCCCATAATAGTTGCCAATTATCTAAATCGATACCATAGCCAAAATTTTTGCTCCAAATTAGCATTGTGTCTTTTACTTGTTCTTCTAGCATGTCTTGTTCTAATAAATATTGATATATCTTTTTTATCGTTTTATCTTCTGTACCTAGTAGGATTTTATCTGTTTATTCTAATTTTATCCCGGGTTCTTTTTTATCTTTTCTGTATCATGATTGTATTTGCAGATATGCCCACCATTCCAGCTCTATGCCATCTTCTAATAGTTTTCCCCTTGTTTTCAACTCTCCGTTCTCATCTAGAATGTCTTTATATGTGATTACCCTTCCTAGGTTCATAAATTTTGGGTGCACAAATATCTTCAATGTTGATATCCAATTGGGGATTTTCCTGTAGTTAGATTTTTTAATTTTAATTCACACATCTAATAGTGCCTGTCTAATATAGTGTTTCTGAAATTACTGATGTGCCTTGTGTTTCCCATCCCATAGTATTGCATGCCACTCTATCTGCATGTCATGGCCTTCTAATGCTAACAATCTCCTATTCCTTAGGTGTATCCATTCCTTTATCCAGGCAGATGTTGTTCCCTGATAGTATTTTTCCCAATTTGGGAGGCCGAATCCTCCTCTTTCCTTTACGTCTTGTAATAACTTGAATTCAATTCTCGGTTTTCTCCCTTTCCAAATAAATTTGGATATAATTTTGTTTAAATTTTCGAAGTCTTTGCCTAATTTAATCATTATGCATTGGAATAGAAAGAGTAATTTAGGAAGTACATTCATTTTAATTGTCGCGATTCTCCCCATAAAGGATAGGTGTAAGTTTTTCCATCTATCTATATCCACTGTGATTTGATCTTTAGTTTATTGTAATTTTCTCTTTTAAGTGTGGTGCATCTTGCCGTCAGTTGAATCCCCAGGTACCTTACTTTTTTAAATATTTGAATGTTATATTTTTTTTTGCTAGCTCATTTTCTTGTGATTTGGTCATATTCTTAACTAACATTTTGGGGTTTTTTTGTTAATCTTCAACCCCGCTACATCTCCATAGTTTTCCAGGACCTGTAATAGTCTTGAGCCAGACTCTAGGGGCTCTTCCAAAATAAAGACTAGATCATCTGCATAGGCCTATAATCTAAATATCTCTTTCTTAATTTCTAAGCCTTTAATCAGTTTATCTTCTCGAATTATTCTTGTTAAAAGTTCTAAAGAGAGTGCAAATAATAATGCTGATAGTGGGCAACCTTGTCTCATACCTTTTTGTATTTGGAAACTTTTTGTTAATTCTCCATTCATAATTACTTTTGCTTCTTGTTTAGAATAAATTACTTTGAACATGTTTATGAATCTTTCCCCAAATTTCATATGTTTAAGTTGGGTCAACATGAAATCCCATTTAACATTATCAAATGCTTTCTGCGCATCAACAAAGATCAATGCCATTTGTTTTTCTTTTTTTTTCAATATAAAATTTTATTGTTTTTATCATAAAAAAGAAAGAAATACATCACAGATATTACACAATGTTATATGCCATCCCCCCACCCCCCGGACTTCCCAAACCAAACCTAGGCTAATATTCAAATACAAGTAAACAAATATTAATATCTCTTAACTCCAAACTCTAAACTTAAACAATCCATCTCCTCCGTATTAATAAAAATTATTCATTTAATTAGTTCTTCAAATACACAAAATCTTTACCATTTCAGCAAGATAATTTAACACTATCCCTTACTTGTACGAAAAAAAAAAGAAAAAAGAAAAAAGTTCCCATCTTCCATAAAGTTAACAAGTTAATTCTGTCATTT